ATTAGAGGGGGTGTTTTGGGTAATGAAATTGACAGGTTTCCCATTGGGATGAGAGTTCTTGCTGTTGACGATGATCCAACTTGCTTGAAATTATTAGACGGGCTTCTAAGAAAATGTCAATATCAAGGTTAGTTTTTTTTTTTTTTTTTTTTCAATTTTTTGTGCTTCAAATTGACTTGGGTTTTTTCATAAACAATCGTTCCTCCTTGAGTTATAAGCGAATTCTGTCTTAATTTGTAGTTCTAGTCAACAATTTTCAAGTATGGATATTGACACAATTATGGACTACATATGATGAATTTGACCTTTTTCTTTTAGGGTTTCAATCCATTGACCTTACGAATGTTTTATGTGTTCATAATCAATGGTTTCGATTTTTACTTTTCACAGTTACAACAACAAATCAAGCGATAACAGCATTAAAGATGCTAAGGGAAAATAGAAACCGATTCGATTTGATCATTAGCGATGTTTACATGCCAGACATGGATGGTTTCAAGCTTCTCGAACTCGTTGGCCTCGAAATGGACTTACCCGTTATCAGTAAGCCCAAAACACTTTAATTTTACCATAATTTTAAGGAATAATAAAATAAATGACCATTTTATAATGTAATATTTAACAAATTTACAATCTTTTTGTTCAATTGCATAAAATGACCACCAATTTTGAAACCGAATCCAAAAAATTACAAAATTACATTTTAGTTACAAAACCGTGAATTTTTTTTTCACTGTTCAGTTGAGAAATTCCAAAATTTTGCACTGACAAAAAGGGTGCAATTTGACAATTATATGAACAATTTCACAATAATAATTGCAATATAGGATTTATTTTTCAGAATGAAATTTTTATTTCAATTTTTTTTGGTGGTGGGGACCATTCAGAAATCAAGTTTGCGATTTGAGACTAAACAATTTATCAAATATCATAAAACGGTAATTTATTATTTGTGATTTAAGGTTGTTTTTCGAAAATTAATGAAGTTTTTCAAAATGGTTTCAGTGTTATCAGGAAACAGTGACCCAAAGCTTGTAATGAAGGGGATCACTCATGGTGCTTGTGATTATTTAGTGAAGCCAGTTCGTCTTGAGGAGCTAAGAAACATATGGCAGCATGTGATTAGGCGAAAAGTTGAGTCAAAATCGCAGTCAAAGTCAAAGTCAAACAACGATCATGATAAATCGGATCAAGGGACTGAAAATGGAGATCAGAATGTGAAGTCGAATAGAAAAAGAGGAATTGAAGATGAAGATGTTGAAGAAAATGGACATGAAAGTGATGATCCATCGGCTCCAAAGAAGCCTCGTGTTGTTTGGTCAATTGATCTTCATAGAAAGTTTGTTGCTGCTGTTAATCAATTGGGGATTGAGAGTGAGTCCTTTTTGGTAATTTTACATATTGGGTGTGGATAACAATTTGACTAAAAGTTGGTTTTTTGGTGTAAATTATGTATGCAGAAGCTGTGCCTAAAAGGATTCTTGATTTGATGAATGTGGATGGAATTACTAGGGAAAATGTAGCAAGTCATCTCCAGGTACGTGAATAAATGACCGTTTTACCCTTGTGTCTAAGGGAATTTATAAATTCAACAGTATGTTGCTTTTTTGGACCGAATGAACCATGTTAGTGTGAGTAAACGACCATTTTATCCTTCTGTTTACAAGGGCATTTGTAAGTAACTATGAAAGAAAAAGTTCATTCTTGGTGACTGAATGTGAAAAATAGCGTTTTTTTGGGAATTATATGCTCAAAAGTCTGTTTCGTTTTTGTACCGAAAGAAACATATAAATGTGAGTAAATGACTGTTTTACCCTTTTGTTTACAAGGGCATTTACAGTTAAGTTTGATAGAAAAGATTCATTCGTGGTAACTAAATGGGAAAAAGATCGACTTTCTTTTGACAATTATTTTCAAACTGGTTCTTTCTTTGTCCGAATGAACCATCTTAATGAGATTAAATGACCGTTTTACCCTTTCGTTTACAAGGGCATTTACAATTAACTTTGAAAGAAATTTTATTCTTTGTGCCTAAACAGGAAAAAGATAGGTTTTCTTTTGTCAATTATATGTTGAAAATGAAAAAAAAAAAAAAATCCCTTTTTTGGCAATTATGCTAATTTGATCTTCTTGTTTACAGAAATATAGGCTTTACCTAAAGAGGATCAGTCATCAAGCTAATATGGTGGTTGCATTTGGTGGAAGCAAAGATGCATCTTCTTACATAAGGATGAATTCTCTTGATGGACTTGGAGATTTTAGGACAATGTCATCTACAGGAAGATTGCCAGGTGGCGCCTATGCGCCATCTGGCATGCTTGGTAGGCTCAACAGTGCAACGGGTGTGACCCTTCATAGCCTCACGGGCCCACCCATGGTCCAACCAAACCATACCCAAAACAAGTTGCAGCCAGTTGTATCGGCTATGCCCCCAAATCAACAAAATTTGAATTTTTTTCAGGGGATTCCAACATCTTTTGACCTTGAGCATCAACAATATAGTAATAAACCGAATACACAAATTGCAGATTTTGGTTCGGTTGAAGAATCTCGAATCTTTACAGGTACCCAATTGATTAGTTTTGATTCTATTAATGAATCTTGAATCTTTAGAAATGCATCATTGATGGATATCGATTCCATTGATGAATCTTGAATCTTTGGGAGTCCTCATTGATGGAATCCGATTATATTGATAAATTATGAATCTTTAGTAACAACCAATTGACATATTCTGATTCCGTTGATGAATCTTGAATCTTTTCAAGTATTCCATTGCCGGATTCCGATTCCATTATGGAATCTTGAATCTTTTGGAGTACCCTATTGATGGATTCTGATTCCTTTGATGAATCTTGAATCTTCACTAGTACCCTATCTATAGATTCCGATTCCATTGATGAATCTTGAATCTTTACTAGTACCCTATCTATAGATTCCGATTCCATTGATGAATCTTGAATCTTTACTAGTACCCTATTTATAGATTCCGATTCCATTGATGAATCTTGAATCTTTACTAGTACCCTATTTATAGATTCCGATTCCATTGATGAATCTTGAATCTTTACTAGTACCCTATTTATAGATTCCGATTCCATTGATGAATCTTGAATCTTTACTAGTACCCTATTTATAGATTCCGATTCCATTGATGAATCTTGAATCTTTACTAGTACCCTATTTATAGATTCCGATTCCATTGATGAATCTTGAATCATTACGAGTATCCTTTTGATGGATTCCAATTCCATTGATGAATCTTGAACCTTTGGGAGTACCCCATTGATGGATTCTGATTCCATTCATGAATCTTTGATCTTTAAGGTTACCCCATTGACGGATTCCGACTCCATGGTTGAATAATGAATCATTACAAGTATCCCCATTGATAGATTATGAATTCATTGATGAGTCATGTATCTTTGAATATTTACAGGTACCAAACTGGCTGATTTCAATTCCATTGATGAATCTAGGATCTTTACAGGTGCACCCATTTAACAAGATTTCAATTCCATGATGTATCTTCAATGTTTATCAGTTTTCAACAAAAAAAAATTTTTTTGAATATTCTTGAATGTTTACAGGTTCTAGCACCTTCACGGATCCAAGTGCAGTTCTTGGAAGTCAATCTATTTTAAAGCTATCTTCTACAGGCCCGGAATCTCTTAATCTTCTTTCAACTAGTTCACCCTTTCTTGATAATCAGTCAACAAACTTCTCTTCAAATCAACTGCCAATCGAAAACTACAGTTATCCTGTTACTGTTAATGGCGGATTTGCTTCCAACATCACCACTACCGCCTCTGTGCCTCTTGAACCTACTGGTGGTGGTTTGGTTGGTGACATTATTCGGAATGCTAATCAATCTTTATCAAATCAAAACCAAAATCACATCCAAAAAAGCGGGCTATATACTGGTAGCAAACAAGATTATATCCAATACTCTCACAATGCTTTTAGCACACTAGCCTCTTCAGCTGCTGCTGCTGGTGGTGGTTTGGGTGGTGGTCTGGTGAGCCATGGTAGATCAAATGGTGGTGGTGGTGGTGGTGGTTCAACCCTTACCCAAACCGAGAAGCTAAGTATGCGCTCCAATGAAGATTTTCCATTTGATCAGACAAAATTGCAAGGTGGTTTTGTTGCAAACGATGGTTATGGTTCATTGGATGATCTTATGACTGGAATGATGAAAAGGGTACAATCTTTTCTTCTATTTTTTTTGTTGAAACTATTTCCTCTTTGATGAGTCGACTCACTTGCCATGGAAAACATTCAAAATGAGTCAAACTCTGTTCAAGGAACCCTAACTAACATCTTTTTGTGCAATTTTTATGATTCTTAGGAGCAAGAGTCTACAATCATAATGGATGGAGAATTCGGATATGATGATTATGGTTTTGGGCCGAATGATGATTCTAGTTAGGTGTTTGACTCGTAGAGAAAGATTAAAAAGAGTCTCTGCAACTTCAGCAACTTAGGTTTTTATCGTTTTCCTCGTATGTAATTTAGAGTTGCTCTGGGTTTTTTTTTATCATCATGGATGTGATGGCGAATATTATATTAATTTTGCTTTAGTATTTTTCAGCAATGCATGTTTTTCTTGCAGTTTAATGTTTCATAATGCAAAGGCATATCAATTTCTTGATACTTATGTGGCTTGTAGCACCATGCTTGAAAATAGAACTACCCCATGGTGGTATATTTGTAAATAATGTCAAAGGGTTGTGGTAGTTTTAATTTCAATATGAATTGGGCTTCTTCCTTGTCAAAATTCAATAGGTGTTGGGCTCTTTATAAGCCCAAGACTTTTTGACAACCACCTAACAGGTTGCTCATCTTAGACTAAATCCACATTGTGAGTGTTTTAATTCCAATATGAATTGAAACGTTTTGTTAATACTATGTGAGTTTTAGTTCACCTAATGATATGGACAATTTTATGTAAGTTTTAGTTCCACTATTTGGGTTGTTTGTAGGCACTTTTTATGCTAAGTGCCAAAATACTATTATGTACCTGATATTCTTTTTTAAGGGATAGTAGAAGAACTGGAAATGAGTCCAAATCCAACTAGAATAAACACAAATGATACACTACTTGAAAAGGGTCTTCTTGATGCAAGCTCAAACAAAGCTAAAATAATATTTAATTAGAACTATGCCTATAATCAGTAATACAACACAAACTAAAATGCATAAATAGGAAACAAGAATAAATATATTGGTAAAACATTTATTCTCCTTCCCAACCAAGTTCTCTAGCTCTTCTCTCCCATAAAGAAGTGATCTTTTTTTCTTGTCTCATGAGAGCCTCAGCTTGTTCTCTTGCTTGTTCGCATGTTTCAGTTGCAGTGTTGCATTTTTCAGCCTCTTTTTGATATTGGGAAGCAACCCTTCTTGCTTCACCAAATGTAATGTTCATATGGCGAATGTGTTCTTCCCCTACTGCTTTCTGTAGTTTAAGCTCTTCTGATAGTAAATCCACAAATTGTTTCTCCATTTCTTCTTTGAGATCTGGATCATCCTTCCCACAATCTGGTTTTTGGAAAAGAATCATTAGATTATACTATAAAAAAGGTAATCAAAGATAAAGAATGAGTTGGTGAGAGAGCTCACCTGTGACAGAAAGATTGACCAAGCCTGCAAAAAGAAATGTAGATATACCAGTTTTAGTATAATTTGATCTTAAGTAATCAAGAATTATGGGTATTTTGAAGTACCAAAGGTCCAAAACCTAGATCTTTCTCCTCATATTCAAATTCAAGAAATAGAAATCAAATTAGGTATTCGCTAATTTCGCAAAGAATGAAAAACTTATTAGAAACTCCGGATCAAATACGACCAAACTAATGAGGAAAACGAACAAGAAATCAATGAAAAGCGAGACATGGATAATAATAGCGAGCAGAAATTGGGCTTTATCGTCAAATTCTATTGAAATTCAAAATTTTGGATAAACCCAAATCATATAGGGTAAAAAAGCTAATAATCAGATCGAATACCAAAAAAAAAAAAGGGTTTGATTACCAGGAGCGAGCTTGAGAAGGGAGAGAGGAGGAGGGCAATCACAGATGCATGGAGTACAATGGATCGAAGAACCGGGTTTCAAATTAAACCCCCGTTTGAGCTTCCAATAAAGAGCTGGCCCAGATACACACAATGCTGAAATCACAGCCAAAATTACCAAACAACACCGGAAACAAGACCCAGATCTCCTTGTCATCTCTCGTCCACTCGCGATTCGGTTATCTCTCAGTGTGTGTGGAAGCTGTATGTGATCTCATGGAGTAAAGCTCTTTTATTGAAGAGTTTATTGGGAATCTATCGTGTCAGTATTTATGATGAAGAAAGGGATTTTGCACTTCCCCGACCAGCTCTCTTTAGAGGATTTATTATTCATCAGTTTTTGTACGCGATAACGGCATTTTGCCCTTTCAAGTTTCAACCCTAATGCTAAAATTATATATAAAATAAAAAAAAAATTATCACATTGAATTTTTGGACTAATCACAAAAATCCAGGAAAAGGTTGTGTATAGGATTGTATATATTTCAAATAGTAATCACAAAATAATCACATATTTAAAGAATATGGGTTTCATAAAGTGATAAAAACTACTTCAATTCGTAGAAGATTTTTTCAAAAATATTGAGTTTACAACTTTTTGCGAGACACTTAATTTCCGTGATACATCTTTTCTATGATAGTAGTGAATTTGAATTTTTAAGATAACTTTAAATTTCTTGAGGTATATATGTGTGCTAATTAGTGAGCATATTTTACATCTAAAAGTGAGTTTCAAATACCTAGGGTCTATGATCCATAAGAAATGAGATGTGGAGGAAGATGTTACACACGACATAAAGATATGATGGCTAAAGTGGAGGGCATCGATGAAAGTTTTGTGTGACAAAAACGTGCCCTTAAAACTAAAAGGGGAATTTTATAAAGTGGCGATTAGGTCAACGTTGTTGTATGTGTCTAGTTTTGTTGTATGAGTCCGAATGTTGGCCAATTAAAAAGGAATATGAGAGGAAGATGAAGGTCGCATAAATACGAATGATGAGGCGACCATGTGGAAGAACAACGGTGTACCAGATTCCTAACATGATAATTAGAAATTTGCTGGGAGTGGCATGAGAAATTAAGGAAATGAATATTATGATGGTTTGGACATGTTTATAGAAGACACATGTCGGTGGTTATAAAGAGAGTGGTGACAATCGCAATCGAAGGTGTGAAGAAGAGAGTTAGCCTGATGATAAAGTTGGAAGACAATGAGAGATTAAACTTGAAGGGGTTAGCTCTTATTGGGGACATGAAGGTTTACACCAACTCCAATGGAACACTAAAACAACATTTTAGAGGCAAAAAAGGGACTATTTCATTCCAACCAACCTCTAAATATCATCATTTTAGTGTGTTAGATAGCTTCGTATACCAAATATGAAGGCTAAAACACATTGCCACTAAAAATCACCATTTTAGTATGTGATTGGATTGGAAACATCATTTTAGTGTGTAAACATCACCATTTTAGTGTTTTCCATTGAAGTTGGTCCTAGAATTAGGGCGATCGAGTCATAGTGACCTATTATGGGGAATAATTTCCTTTTATTTGTTATTGCTTGCTTATCAGTTTCATCCACTTACTCATGTTTCAAACTGGTTTCAACGAGTGTTAGTATTGTATGTCATTTGCTTGCTTTTGTGTCTACTTCCAATACTTGTTTATCGATTCATGTTGTACCGATTGACCCTTCCCCTATCTACTTACATACAAACTTATCTCGTTTATCAATATATTTGTAGGTACACATCTTTGCTTTTTCTTGTTCATTATGGACTTATGTTTAAAATTCAAAGATCTTATATGTAGGGATCATTTCGGCTTGGACACACTACAATATTTCTTTATTTCTTTACTTTATATTTTATTCTATGCTTTTTTTGTATTTTTATACTTCTTACTCCCCATTACCCATCGGTAAAGGTATAGGGCAGTGTTGTTATGGTTTAACAAATGTGGAAAGTTTGTTTGTGGAATCACTTCATGGATTGAGTTCTCATAATTTCTTTCAATAGTCATGTTCTAATATCTCTTAGTATTGTTCAACAATTTGTTCTTTCAATCAAAATGTGAGTTCGTTACATGATTGTACCTTTGAGTTTGTGTAAACCATCGTACCTTTAAAAACACCTCTAGTCCAACTTTCACTATTGGCACCAAGTTCTGTGATAGATCTATCTAATTTTTGTATAGTTTTACGTACTACATTTCTTGTGAGATTCTATTACTGGTGCCAAGTTTTGTGACAAAACTTTCAGTGCAAAGTTTTGTGATGAATTCATCTAATTTTTTGTATGGTTTTCCATTGTCCATTTCGTGTGAGATTTAATTATTGTGGTAATATTGAATGTGAGAACGAAGAAATCAAGGAAGACAAATCTATTTTAATTTTTATTATTCAAGCTAGGCGTAAAATGCAGCACCAAAATTTGTTGGTTTGATTTACTGAATACCGATGGTTGAAAAGGAAAGTTGAAGCTCGCCCTACATTTTTAATATAATAGGAAATTTAATTCCTCAATTATTAGGAATGGTGATATTTTAGAATTTTAATACTTTTCTTGTTTGTGAAGATGAAGATTTTAGGGCCCAAGTTTATTTTAGAACGATGCAAATTCTGAATGAAAGATATTTAAGTCTAATAATATAGGCTTCATTGCCAAATAAATTCCATCACACAATCCCTCACTGAGAATGATGAAGGTTTGTGGGTTTAAACAGATGTTAACTATTAGTTATTTACTATATCGTTGGGTTCAAATCTATATAGCATATATGTATTATTGTGAAGTAGCTATTATTTACCATCCATTATACTTAACATGAAATACTCACATGTGCATGCTATACGATTTTCTGATTAAATAAAGTTACATCCAAAATCAAGCATAATGAATAATACAAAGTGACAACGATTAACATGAATTGGAAATTAAATGACTTTAGTGTTTGTTCAAGTCTAATATCAATGAAGATAGTGGCAAGATTAGACTACTGAGATGGTTGGTAAGTTGGTTATACCTTGGAGCTTTTGAACACATATCATCTCACGATAGTGTTAGCAAGTGAATGATTGAGTGGTAGGGTCATATCATATTCAGCAACACCTAAAAGCACCCAAAAAAGATTGAAAATCACCCTTGGATCATTAGGGATGATGGATGATTTACTTGTGGCATAAAGTTCTTATAAATTATAATACAAAATCGAGTTACAAGTTTTCTTAGTTGTACTGTTGTAGCTCCGATCATTCCCTTTATATTTATCGAGAAGGTCGAAGATATGATGTGTTTACTACTTTATGTCGATGGTACCATTCTTACTATTTTATTTCAATGATATTATTCTTATTACATCCTTTCACACATTAAAGGAACCTTTTTTTTGGGAAAATGTGTTGAAGTTTCCAAGAAAGATATAGGTATGTTAGTTATTTTCTCAATAAACGTGAATTTTCAAAACAATTTTTCGTTTTTCAAACAACATAAACCATCATTCAATATTCTCAAATCTCATGTTTAGCAAATGTCATCATAATAAAAATACATCCCAAGATCATAAAATAAATCTTCCGGCAGTGTGTACAGATCATGCATGCGCCTTCCCACGGTCCTCGCTCGTACCTGAAACACATAACACAACAACTGTAAGCATAATGCTTAGTGAGTTCCCCAAAATACCACTTACACACATACGCCGTTCCAGGCCATGACCTTTCGGTCCATGTGTCTCAGGGGACTTCCGTCCCAACCCGGTAAACCTTCCGGTCCTACCTGTGTCGACCTTCCGATCCATAACTCACTGACCTTCCGGTCCACATCATAATGCCTTCCGGCCCATAACAAGCATAACATACATAGCACATACAAAACGGTTAACTAATCACATACAATGCATATATCTTATAGCATATCCGACCTTCCGGTCACACATAGGTACCCTTCTAGGTACAGTATAGTGAGAATACTCACCTCTGATATCTCGGTAAAGCACTGACTCGGTAGAAATACGATCTAGCCTCCGCCTAAACACATAAAGCAAATACTCCCATAAATATAACTATACTCCAACCTTTCTTAACATCCTTAGAAGGGTAAAAGACCATTTTACCCCTCTTCTGGCTCAAAAGGCCTCACTGCTAACCAAACCCTAAAAGTCAACCAAAGTCAACGGTCAAACTTTGACCCGACTCGGCAAGTGCACTTGGGCAACTCGGCGAGTCCACTTGTGTCCACTTAACTTTTTAGTCCCATTTAACACGTCGAGTCCCTCCCTTTACTCGACGAGTCCCCAAGCAAGAATCGCGGGGCTACCCTGACTCAACTCGCCGAGTCCCAAGAACAACTCGTCGAGTACATGCCATGCACAAGTTCTATTAACCTCCTGAGGTCAGATCTGTTCCTCAAATCCATAGATCTGTCCTTCCCAAGCAATATAATTACGTAAAGCTCGAAACTTGATGCTTATATATATACATAATGGCATCAAATGGTGATTTAGTCCCAAAAATGGCAACCTAAGTCCAATCACCCCACAAAGACTCATAAAGCTTCATGGGTTGAAGTCTCTGGACCCCTTTGAGTCCAGATCCAAACACAAACTCGAGAGGGACTAAATACTCTACATATTCTTCCTCTAAAGGCCATAACAAAGCCCAAACTCTATGAATCAACACCCAAACTGGAGAAGGTCCGAAGGAATACCTTAATATGAAGCCTTTGATCTCTGAAAACACTAGCTTTGCACTTCCTTCAGCCTTCTTTTGCCTTGGTCACCTTTTCCTTCAAATTTTACCAACAATTGATCAACAATGGCCTCTCTTCTCTTCACAAGCGATCTAAGACTCTCTTTGGGGTGTGGTAGCCGCAATGGATGGCCATAAGGGCCTTTAAATAGGCTCCAACCACAGAGGATTAGGGTTTCATTAAATAGCGTGGACTCGCCGAGTCCACTCATGGACTCGCCGAGTCCAACGCGAACCCGGATGATCAACCACGACCCTACTCGACGAGTCTACGCATAAACTCGCCGAGTTCCTTCACATAATCCAAAAAAAATATTAAAATAATATATATGGGATTCCAGATGTTACAAATAATGTCATCCGACACGACTACTGATCGGTTCAGTCACCAAGAGAACATGCTACCGAAATCCAACATGTCGGACATGTAAAACAACAACGACACCTATTAACACTAAACGTAAATTAAGTGTAAACATAGGCCCTTTGTTTCTGGATCAAACCTTGTTTATCATCTTCTAGTTAAAGCCCCATAATGCCTTAAATTCATACGGCTAGACATTTCTTATGTCCCCCATCAAATTTATCTTTACATGCGTACTCCTCATAATGATTACATGACACCTCTCAAAAAGACCATTTGATACATTCGAGGCACTCAAAATTTCGGTGTATATGTCTATAAATTTGCATTCTCTTGACTTTCTACATATATGGATGCTAATCGGACATGTTGCATCAGTACTCGTCTGGATATTGTGTTTTTATGGAACCAATCTCATTTTAATGTTTCATGGTTTTTAAAAATGCACCCACTATATAATGTTCTAGCGCCAAACTAAATATCAAAGAGCAACAAACACCATTTCCAAAACCTGACGGATTCGAAATTTATAACTAGAGTTTCATATACCGGTATGAACAAACTTGTTTAATGTGATAATGTGACTGACATAGTGCCATTATATGTTTCAGTAGTCGTGTTCAAAATTAACATACGAAAGCATATTGAACTTGGAATTAACTTTGTTTGGGAAAAAATAGCTAAATGACAAGTATGGTTTCTCAATATCAACTTGTCAATATTTTTACCAAATAGCTAAAGTATCCTATTCTGGAAAGATCGATGGTATTGTTCCTTAACCTTACAAGAACGGTTCCCAAAGTTATATGAACTAGAGGTAGCGATATGTTTGGTCTCTGATAGGATCGACAGTTCAGGCTTTCACTGGAGATGGAAAACAAATGATTTACATGAGGAAGCATTTGATGATTTTCATATTTTTAGCTCTATGATTCAGGGGACTAACACACAACCGGTACTTAATGGATTTCGATTCAATATGAGCCTCGATGGCAACTACACAGTCAGTATCCTACGCCAAAGGATCGATTCCAATCATACCCCTCTCAATGGAATAGTGATAAATTCATCAAAGGTTGTTCCATTGAAAATTCGATGCTTCATTTGGATGGCAGTTTTGGACAGGCTTCATGTAGCATCAAACTTAGCCAAGAGAGGTGTTAGTTTACAATCTACCCTATGTCCCCTGTGCAATAATGAACAAGAAACAAGTGATCATCTATTAATTAGATGCAGTGTGGCAACGGAGGCTAGAGCTTGGATTCTCAAATGGTACGGCATACATGCCACTCCATTTGACAATGTGGTTGAATTTAGTAACTTTGCAGCTACGTGGGGGAATTGCCTAAGGAAGAGGAAGAAGATCATCACGGTGTTTATGGGATATTGTGATTCATCTGGATGGCTAGGAACAACAAGTTGTTTAAAGGGTTGACAATGAATCTTGCTAAGATTATTGATGAGGTGGTTTCCCTGACTTTTGCTTGGTTCAAGTATAGAACGTCGATGGTAAATTGCAGATGGATTGATTGGAGTATCTTACCCTTTTGTTAATCTTTATTTATGTTTTATGTTTTGCTGCACTCTTATTGTATGTTGTACTTTGCCCTCTATTTAGTTACTTGCTAATTGTGTGACCTTTTATTTTTATATATTTGCTGTTTCCAAAAAAAAAAAAAGTTATCAAATGATTTCACGAATCAGGAGTATATGAGCATGAGATGACCTCTTAATTTGATTGAGGTGGTGAATTAAATAAACATTATGTTTTAAATAGCAACTAGCTATAGCAACATTAACGATCAATGAGAAAGTCAAGCGATGTTTTCTTATAACATATTAGTTTTAGGTTTTAAAAAAATAAACGTAATTAGGTTTACCATCTCCATCCCCATCCCTATTCGCATCCCTATCTCTATCCCAACCCCGGTGGGTACGTAAAATCAAATTACTTCCACTTTGAAAATTGATCTATCCCAAGCTCATCCTAGTCAATCCTCGATCCATGGATGTAAACATTGTTAAAATAAATTATTTGATAATATAGTATGGGTTAGTAAAAAGATATAAAATTCCACCCCATCCTATTCAATTCAATGTCGATTCAGTTATAATGAGGACAATTAACGAACACAAAAATCCAGAGTTTTACTTTCTACATATTCTAATTTATAAGTACAAAACATAATTAAAAGACCCATATGGAAAAATCAACAGAAGGCAGGCTCCTAAGCTTAAATCATCTACCCAATACCAATAGTAAGCATATTTATTATGGGTCGTATGAGGGCGGGTTGAGGAATGAGCGCCTCAGACATAAGTTTGAACGCCATCTTCCTTTTAGGACATGTTGATCTAAAAAACCAAGTGAGTATCAACTAATTTGATAGTTAATGAGGCATATGCAAATTGCAAAGAATAACGACTTTGTGTTACATGTCCATATATGATTTGTGATATGTATTTTTAGAATTATACATGATTTGATGAAACATACAAACGAATACAACATATACATTACTACATGAACTAAATATACATAACCAGTAAACCACAATATCGACCATCTTTTATTTCCCGAATATTGATTTCAACCACCACACGCCCTTGGTGTCAGCCGGAGCACCTTCAGTCTCCGGCGGTGGGTCTGTGTGTGTCGTCTTCTTCAGATTGCTCACATCATACCCTTCTCCCTTCGCTTTCTCAATCAGCTGCTCGTATATCTCATCATCCAGATGGTTTTCTCTGCACAATATCTACACAAAACCCCAATTATACCAATCAATTTCAATACAATTGCACAAACCAATTAACACAAACTATGCGAGATTGAAACATACCCAGAGAGACTTCTTCGAAGGCTGACCAATCAAAGCATACTGATAATCATCATCTAGAAACAGCACCCAGTAATCGCCCGTAACAGGTATGATGGGCAAAAATGGCGGAAGGTAGAATTTCACCTTCAATTTCGCTTCATCGCTATTGGGATCAGCTTTATAAGCAGTTCCTTCAATGAATCCTCTCTTTCCATCACTCCAAGTCTCGTTTAGAACATGAACAGTGCCATCGTCTTTCAGTGTGTATGTAGCCCTTGTATCGGTTCCGTTTTTAGGCTGATTTCTTGATGGAAATGAAGCAATTTCGTACCATCGGCCCATGTATCTCTGTAGATCAACGCCCTTTACAACTTCCATCTCTTTCTTGGCCATGGAGTTTCTGTGTGTGAACTGTGAATAGGAAGGTGATGAATAATGGAAGGAAAGATTCTGGGGAGTATATAATTGATGGGGGGATAGATAAAAGGTGATGTGGAGAATTGATAACCTCACAGTTTATTGGATTGCAAAAATATTTTGAATTTATAAGTATTTTTTATTTTATGTTTTAATATTCTCCAGCTTCCCTCTAAAGATTTATTGTCGACAATGGTTGTCAAAAATAGTCAAAAGTTGAAGATTTATTTTCCAATTGTTGGGTTTTTATATATAGATTGGGAGATTAAACTTCTTTTATGAAATTATCATTGAAAGTTTAATACTATAGTGGAAATTATATAATTTGAGGATATGAATATATTCTGAGGTGAGAAGTAAAGATGTTAAAATATTTGATACTATGTTATAGGTAAAAAAAAAAAAAAAATACGTCCTTTCTTCATTTCCTTGTGTTTCTAAATAAAAAGATAAATCTTAATTAGCGTTAACGAAGACGGTATTTTAGATCTTATTTTGATGTTAAAAAGGATTTTTTGATAAAAATGACTTATTGATCTACGAATGAGAGAAAAAAAAGTTTTTTTTTAAAATGTTTAAATTAATTTTTTAGTGGAAAATATCAATAAGTCAATAAGTTAAAAAGTGTTTAGCTTAAATAAATTATTTGTTTTTTTTTTATCCTAATACGTTATAAGTCATTTCAAAAAATCACAATTTGTTCTTTTTAAAAAAACTCATTTTCAAATGCTAAACAAACAAAAGTTTTAAAAGTTATTGTTAGGTATCCAAACATTTTTTTAAATTTTAAATATTACTAAAAGAGAAACTTTATAACATCATCTTAAATAATCTGGACTATTGATTGTATTTCAATATTATTTTTTCCATCCTTAGATCTAATTGCTGACATCATCTTCCCCATATAGAATGTATTTAATTCCAATAAATTCTTTCCAATCATCAATCAATAACTTACATTCGTTGAAATGGAATGTATTTAATTCCAATAAAAGTTTTCCATATTTTACATCTTGAATTTTCAGTTATGAAGATTTTAATATGATCAATTTTAAAAATATATTACTAACAAATCATTTCAATCAAGGCCTTAATATCAACCATTAATATAAATCCGTTTATATTAGTAACCAGTAATATAAAATCTTTTTTTATTAGGAAATCATTAATACTGAAAAATCATATTCAAATTATCACATACATATACGATTCATCGTTGAATCTGCGACTCACATTTATTTTCAATCGTTTCTTTTCTTCAAACATTTTCCTACAACATCGTTAATATTGCTTATAACTTCCATCATCATTTTCTGCTATCAACATTCGCTCTTGTGTGCTAGAAGGTCAGTACCTTCTTTCGCTTTTTATATTTTTTTTCGATCATTTTTTGTTCCTATATCAAATGTATGTATTCATATATTTCGATTTTCTTTGTCACAAATTACATGAAATCAGTTAACTACTTTTTTGAAACTTTTCAAATAAACATGAAAATATATTAGGTACCTTTAACAAAACAAAAATTAACTATTTTGGAAACTGACATTAATTACGAAAATGTTACTTTTATATATTAGAGACTATTATGATTTTTTTTTAAATTTTTATGTCATAAGAATCCGGTTAATTTTGGCATGATTTTAAAATATCATTGAAATTATTATGTTTTTGTATATCATATCAACCTACTTTTTATCTTCGTATAATAACAATAAAATTTATTAATTTGCACAACAAATATAGATATTTCAAATTTTGTAATATTATTATACCTTACAAAATACAACTCCTTCCAAAATAAATTTTCGTCAGTAATTTCATCCATAATTTCAACAAATTTAAATTTGTATTTTCTTTATATAAATTTTTTCTAATGATGCTGATTTTTTTCTCCAAAAAGTATATCAAACATTTACGTTTTAGATAATGTTATCCTATTATAATTATTATTTTCCAAAAATATATCCATTTAATGAGGAATTTGATATAATAAAGGAAGTGAATGTTAATTAAAATGAGATATATATTCCATAATTATTACATGAGTTTATTAAAAAAAAATTAATATCAAGGTGTAAACATTAAGCATTTTTAAAGTGAAATTTCAGAATATATACAAACGATGATGTTGTATAATGAAATATAAAGTTGAATAGATTGAAAAAAACACTATTAAAGCAGTCAATCTTGAAAATAACATAGTTATGAAAAATTATAAAGTAAGATTAAAATTATAAGATATTAGGAGATTTGTAAAAAGTACATTTAGTAAAAGCATTACGGTTATTAGAAAAAATAAGACCGTTAAGAATAGTGAAAATACAATATATAAACTAAATTATCACAATAGTAATGAAATTTTATTATTTGATATTTCATATAGTTGACAGATATATCAAATTAAATTGATGATATACTAAAATTATTCAAAGTTGCGCCAAAACTAATGCAAAGTTTTTGCGAACACTAAATAAATAAGAACAAACATAAAAGCTAGCATTTATATTTATAATCAATTTAAAATAAACCAATCATAATTTAGAAAAGAATCTTCATTGATGATATACTAAAATTAAATATATATATATATATATATATATATATATATATATATATATATATATATATATATATATATATATATATAACATTTAACATTTTATAAATTATATTACATAACTTTATTTGAATAAATGAAATAGTTGTTAATATTTAATGCAATAGAAAAAACGGTATACTGATTGTCAATATATGTTTAAATTAGGTAACATTATTATGCAAGGAACATCTAATTAAAATACTTATAAATATATAAATATCATAACTATATAAGACGAGGAAAGTCGTTCAACTAATAAAACAAAAAATGATATCTACAAAGAGATCTTTCAATGATTATATATATTTATCGTTTTTAATGTATTTTCTACACATTTCAATAATACCAATAACCATATTTTTTTTATAATCATTATACAATATCTATAAACGACTATATGTTTTTTTATGCGTTTCCCGCGTTTAACGCAGGTTATAATCTAGTTTATTAACTATTTAAAATTTCAATTAAGTTAATAAAGAGTTTTTAGATGAATCCTCAAACACTTTCAAAATCTAAATAGAACATTTAAATAAACAAACACCTTCAAAATCTAAATAGAACATTTAAATAAAGAAGCGTATAACCGTTTAATTAAGAATCAACTTTTTGCTGGCAAATTTGCGCTTCTTAGAGTATTTACAATACAAATTTGCAAATGAGTTGTTTTTGTTTTAAATGTTGCATGACTATGTATTACTTATTCACATCGGCCTACCTGAGGACAATAGGAGGTGTAGGAAGACCAGCAAGAAAGATTTCTTCAACTATGCTTTTCAGATGTCACAATTCCTTAGAGGATATAAGACCTGAAACCCTTGAACAAAAAAAAATACTATATTGATGTATATCTTTTAACAGGCGGATTCATTATGGATCGCGGGGTATCCCTGGATACCCTTCAAAAAATTTTAATAGTGTTAATTTTTTCAGAAAAGTTCGTTATATGTTGCGTTTTTATATCGGAAAATATATTGGGTTACCCTAAAAAATTTCAAGTTGTTTTTTAATGGACCAAAATACAAATTAGCCTAAATTGTCCAAATATTTTAAGCCCACACCAATTAATTTATTGAAACTAAGAGGTCTTAAGCCTAATAAAAGAAAAAAAAAAAAAAAAGGATGTAATCGGTATTGGGACTTGGGTTATTCGATCATTACTTCGTGAATCGTGATTCATCAATCATCAGTCGACTTCTCAATTGTCGACTTCCAAGCTCCAATTAGAAATTGTCTTCTGACTTCTCCAAGGATGCTGCAGTCATCGACATTGGAACATCAACCATTCTCAATTGCAAAATTCCGGGAACCTCCTCCGCTCCTTTGCTCTTCCATCACAATGAAACAAACTATAACCAAAATACTCATCCCTATTATGTGTTTAGGTTAATTCTAATTCTAATTTTTTGTTATTATGTTTGAAAAATTAGAAATTAATAATTAACTTTGTTAAATTAGGGACTTAGGGTTAATACTTAATGATTATTTGTTGTTGAAATTTGAAATCAAGCTAGGTTGTGTGCTTATGCAGCGAGGAAAGGTTATTGTCTATGCCTTGAGACAACTAAAGGCACACGAAGTCAACTACAACACTCATGACCTTGAGTTGGGAGTCGTAGTTTTCACACTAAAAATCTGAAGACATTACCTTTACGGTACCAAGTGCACTATCTTCACTGACCTCAAAAGTCTTCAACATATCTTTGATTAGAAAGAACTTAACATGAGACAGCGACGATGGGTAGAGTTACTCAATGATTACGAATGTGAATTCGGTATCATCCCGGTAAGGCCAATGTAGTAACGGATGCCCTTAGGCGAAAGGAACACTTAGGTCGTAGGGTGAAGGCACTAACCATGACAATCCATTCCCATCTATCCACACAAATCAAAGAGGCTCAACTAGAAGCCTTAAAACCAGAAAATGTGGCAGACGAAGTCTTAAGAGGAATGGAGAAGAACTTTGAGATCAAGGGAGACAGAGTTCATTATTTCATGAACCGGATATGGACCCCAAAGTTCGGTGGTTTCAAGGACGTAGTCATGAATGAAGCACACAAGACTCGATACTCCATCCACCCAGGTTCAGATAAGATGTACCTGGATCTCAAGAAACTTTATTGGTGGCCAAACATAAAAGCTGAAATTTCTACCTATGTGGGCAAGTGTCTAACTTGTGCCAAACTCAAGGTGAAATATCAAAAGCCCTCAAGTTTACTTCAAATCTAGAAATACCTGAGTGGAAGTGGGAACGGATTACAATGGATTTCATAACCAAGTTACCCAAGATAACGGGTGGTCATGACACCATTTGAGTAATCATTGACAGATTAATCAAGTCCGCTCACTTCCCGCCAATCAAAGAAACAAACAAGATGGAGAAACTGACCAGAACTTAAATCTGAGAGATAGTATGACTGCATGGTGTGCCCATATCTATTGTCTCAGATAGATACAGTAGATTAACCTCACGATTTTGGCAGTCACTTCAGAAGACTCTTCGAACTAGGTTGGACATGAGTACAGCCTACCATCCACAAACTGACGGGCAGAGTGAGAGAACCATCCAAACACCAAAAGACATGCTAAGACCGTG